CGAAAATACACGCTTTCTCTGAAAAAACTTCATAAAAACTGCGCAAGCGAGGCGGTTGCAGCGATGGCTGATTTTGGTTTTCAGCAGAAAAACACGGAAAGGCGGGCGGTGATTACAGAAGGACAGGATGGGCGGTGGATGGAAGCTGATCGGAGGAGCAGGAGAGGAGGACGGGAAGAGAGGATGGGAAAACCAAAGGATTGGATAAAGTGCAGCTCATTTTACACAACGATTTTTGAAATCGCTTTTCGGCTAATACTGCATAAAAAATGCAGTTCCGCTGCACTTTTTACGTGGTACCAACAAGTCACAAATTTCTACATTTCAGTTTGTCGTGTTAAAAAAATAACGAGTATTTTCCACCGGATGGACTGGAGCTCCGGTATTGCCGGGATGTATTCGTAGACCGCGCACGCAGAGCCAGGCTTTTCCAGAATAAGCTGTATGCATATAGCTTTTACCGGTGACTACAGGCATGCAGCTTATTCCTGAAAGGCGTAGCATTCGTATCCGCTTCTCGCACATTGACCCATCAATCGTTCCCTTTCTCCTGCGCAGTATTCAGTGCCAGGCAAAAATGCTGAACACAATTTATGCAAAGAAAAGTAATGACAGTCACTCTTGTAACCGACGATACAGAAATTTATCAATATTTAGTGTCCAGAGCATCAAAGGGGGAAAAATCAACTGCTCTAGGCTGTTGCTCACTTACCTTAGTACACTCTCGACAAACACTCGCAACGCTTTGACATGAACGAAAGCCGAAAATATTTCGCTGAAATTGATTTTGAGCCACCGAACAAGCGGGGCATACTGTCGCTCCTTCTCCTGGACAAGCTTATCGCGCTCACTGCGGCCTACTTTCAGAGATTCCTCATCGTAAACAAAATCCCGAACAATGAATCTGAAAAATTTTTTTAAAACAATACATTTTAGCTCTCCAGTTTTCACAGCCCTCCAGATTATTCAGATCGGTAACACAACCATACGAAGAAAATCTGCTCATTCCACAGAATGCGAGACGAATCCTAAGAAAAATGACCTGTGCTCGGTGGACTTACTTGTTCTCCCTGCAATGGGTTTTGTATTCATCGATGACCTTCTTGAACAGCGTCACGGAGAAAAGCATTTGGTCACCCTCTTCGGTGACTAATCTGCTCGAGCCCGGCACCACCATATCCGATAATGTTTCGTATTTGTGTTGCCAATCTTTGGCTAGCGATCTAAAACCAAAAAAAAAATCATTTCAGTAACGAAACCGAAATCACCACTTATCGATTCAGGCCCCTGACTTTCCCGAAGCCCTAGCAGAAAAATTTGAGAAATCTGAACCAGTACCGTGCTCCACATAGATGACGGACAGCAGTGAGAGATAACGTTTTAGCTATTTAGAACAGAGTGGCAACGAAGAAGCAGTGCAATCTCAAGTGAATTGCGAAAAGCATACTTCGGCACAACCACCATCAGCGTTTGCAAGTATTCCGAATTCAGCACGAAATCTTCTGCTTTCACAATGTCCGACAAATCCTTCGTTATCAAACTGCCACTGAAATACGTGCGTCTGATAAAGCATGATGCCGCTCACTCCCTCTAGTATATGAGTAATTTTAGACTGCACATAAAACGTACGTTGCTTTTCGATCGATTGAAGCAAGGCTATTTTTGAGATTATTGTACATTGTCGATTTCGTCTTCAGATCATTATCAATCTGCGTGATTTGCTGAAATTCAAAAATACCGTAAAAAATGACACCAAAAATGACACTTTGGCGAAAACCCTATTTTATTCAGCTTTCGCTTGCCCGTAACAAGCCCCACCGCTACCAATGAAGCGGACAATGTAATTGTGGCTATTGCGACTGAAGCTGCACTACCCGTCGACTGGTACTGGCGATCGTTCTGCTTTCGTCCGTCATCCCCCCACATTCCCCATGCCATCTGTGCAGTTTTTTGACCCGTAAAAACAGGAGTCCTTACAAGCTCCTTCATAACAGCCACATGCCGTAAAGACGATGTGTCCGCGGGTACCATAAAGCACCGAGAAGAATCACGTGGGAGTGACAAAATTCGGCTTCTGATACGTAGCAGCAAGATTTCTTGGTACGCAAGGCCCTTCACATATCCCCAAGACTAACTTCTGCTGCACATCTACATAGAAGTAACAACCAATACAGGGGGAAGAGGGAGAAGATCGCTACCTAGGGAGCTGACGGATCATGTAAGAGGTCGAAGAAACAAGGCAAATCCGGCATACCCTTCCGGACGTAGAAAAATTGTTAAGCAGAAACGTAAAGGACAATTTCACCAATAAGTTAATCGTGTAATAATGCAAATTTGGTCACAGAAACCATCATTTTGAAGAATCGGTGGCTTAAGGAGGCAGTGTAGAAGAAGTATGAAAATAATTACCATCAAAACAGCAAGCGAAAAATAGAAAGCTCATGCACTTCAATACAAAAAAAAAAAAAAAAAA